CTCTGTCTTCAGTTCTGGCAGTTCGGGGAGTGGGTGGATGTGGTGATCGATGACCGTCTCCCGGTCAAAGACGGGGAGCTGCTGTTTGTCCACTCGGCTGAAGGCAGGGAGTTCTGGAGCGCCCTGCTGGAGAAGGCCTACGCCAAGTAAGACCGTCCAGAACCGTGAAGACAAACTGACCCAGATAGATGCCGRGGAGGACATTTTGGTCTTGTTCTGTTCTGGAAGAGAACGGGTTCAGAACCTCTGAATGCAAGGACCAGTAATCCAGTCCAGTGCAGTCCAGTCTACGGTTTAGATCTACAGACCAAAAACATGAACCTGTTGTCTTCAGGTCCAGTCTGTCCTGTCCTGAGACCTGTCTGTCCTGTCTTTTCCTGTCTGTAGAGTGAACGGCTGCTACGAGGCTCTGTCAGGTGGGTCCACTACCGAGGGCTTTGAGGACTTCACTGGAGGCATCGCAGAGAACTTTGACCTCAAAAATCCYCCGTCCAACCTKTTCCAGATCCTCAAGAAGGCTCTGGAGGCCGGAGCCCTGCTCGGCTGCTCCATTGACGTGAGTCCAACATGTCCCTCTGTGACCCTCAGGTTCTGGTTCTGACTCATCCAGGGCGGGGTAGTCCTGGTAGGTCCAAACAAGAACATGTCCTGTGGACCGGATCTACGTGAGACATGTCTGTCCTGTGGACCTGATCTATAAGAGTTTGATCTGGGGAATGTCTTCRGAACTAAAGGAATTCTACAGTTTTTGTTTGGACCTAATAGGACTCAGTGGTTCTGGTTCTGTTGGACCTAGCAGGTCTTGGTGGTTCTGGTTCTGTTGATAGTTCAGTTGGACCTAGCAGCACTTGTTTCCAGTGGTTCTGGTCCTAATGTCTTGGTTTGCTCCTCAAGATCACGAGCGCTGCAGATTCAGAGGCTGTGACTCGTCAGAAGCTGGTGAAAGGCCACGCCTACTCGCTGACCGGCGCCGTGGAGGTACCATATGCTCCAATACCGAGCTTCCGAGAACCCACAGCAGGACGACCCGATGACTCATGTTCCTGTGTTCCCATGTTCTGGTTCCAGGTGAWCTACCGCGGCCGGCAGGAGAAGCTGGTCAGGATGAGGAACCCTTGGGGTCAGGTGGAGTGGACCGGAGCCTGGAGTGATGGGTAACCAAACACAACCACAAAGGTCCTGGTTCTGATTGGCTGTTCACTCTGTAAACCTTGACTCATCCAACCAGAATCATCCAACCAATCATGTGGTTGAACTTTCTTGGTTTGGTTCTGAGGCCAAAATAATCTAAATGGATCTTTAGAGGTCTTGATCAATGACTCAATGACTCGATGATCCAGTGACTCAATGACCTAATGATCCAATCACTCTTTGATCCAACAACTCAATGACCCGAGTCAGAAAATGCCCTGACTCAGGTCTGTAATCTCGGGGATTTCAAACCTAACCCTAATCTAATGACTCGATGACCCAATGACTCTTTGATCCAGTGACTCAATGACTGAAGTCAGGAAAATCCTTTTAAAACTTTTTAACCCTTTTAAAGAATTTTAAACCCAACCCTAATCTAACCTAATTTTTAAAAAAGGGGACCAGAAAGAGTGTTCTAACTATCTTGGGATCACACTTCTTGCCCTCCCCGGGAAAGTTTACTCCAGGGTGTTGGAAGGGAGGCTCCGATCSATTGTTGAACCTCGGATTCAAGAGGAGCAGTGTGGCTTTTGTCCTGGGCRTGGAACAGTGGACCAGATCTTTATCCTTGCAGAGTCTCTAAGGGGGTCATGCGAGTTTGCCTCTCTGGTCTACATGTGTTTTGTAGACTTGGAGAAGGTTATGACCGTGTTCCTTGAGGTTTTCTGTGGGGGGTGCTGCGGGAGTATGTAGGGTCTGGGTTGCTACTAAGAGCGATCCAGTCCCTGTAGAACCAAAGCAGGAGCAGTGTTCACATTCTTGGCACAAAGTCGAGCTTGTTCTCAGGGTTGGTCTCTACCAGGGCTGTCCCTTGTCTCTGATCCTGTTTGTTGTGTTTATGGACAGGATCTCAATGTGCAATTGTGGAGAGGAAGATGTCTGGTTTAGGGACCACAAGTTCTCATATCTGCTGTATGCAGATGATGTGGTTCTGTTGGCATCTTCAGCTCAAGACCTTCAGCTTGCACTGGGGCAGTTCGCAACCGAGTGTGAAGCGGTAGAGATGAAGGTCAGTTCCTCTTAGTCTGAGGTCATGATTCTTGACTGGTAAAGGGTGGAATGCCCMCTCCCGGTCAGGGGAGAGTCTCTGCCTCAAGTGGAGGAGTTTAAGTATCTGGGTGTCTTGTTCACCAGTGATAGTAGGATGGAGCGGGAGTTGGATCGACGGATTGGGGCCTCATCTTCAGTAATGAGGGTGTTGCTTCAGTCAGTTGTGGTGAAGAAAGAGCTGAGTCGAAAGGCAAAGCTCTCGATTTACTGGTCTGTCTTTGTTCCAACCCTCACCTGTGGTCATGAGGCGTGGATCATGACCCAAAGAATGAGATCCCGGATACAGGTGGCCGAGAGCTCTGTCATCCGGGGGGGAGCTCGGAGTAGAGCTGCTGCTCCTCCACATCGAAAGGAGTCAATTACGGTGGTTCATCTGATTAAGATGCCTCCTGGACGCCTCCCTTTAGAGGTGTTCTGGGCACGTCTCACTGGGAGGAGGCCCCAGGGAAGACCCAGGACTCGCTGGAGGGGCTATGTATCCTCTCTGGCATGGGAATGCCTCGGGGTCCACYAGGATGAGGTTGAAAGTTTCGCTGTGGAGAGAGATGTCTGGGTTTCTCTCCTGGACCTGTTGCCTCCACGACCTGACTATGGATAAGTGGAAGAAGATGGAGATGGAGAACCTAACCTAATGGCTCAATGATCCAATGACTCTTTGATCCGATGACTTGATATTTCTTCTTCTCTCCCTGCAGKTCATCTGAGTGGAACTACGTTCAGGGAGACTGCCCCCACGCCAACGCTGAGGATGGAGAGTTCTGGTAGGTCCAACAGTACACCAGAACAAACAAGAMGTGATGTGAAGTTGGACTCAGAATCAGGCCCTGTCCCTGTCCCTGCAGGATGTCCTTCAACGAGTTCCTGCATAACTACTCCCGGGTGGAGGTGTGCACTCTGACCCCCGATGCCATCAATGACGACTCCGTCAAGCACTGGAGCGTCAGCAAGTTTGACGGTACCTGGAGGAGAGGGTCCACTGCCGGAGGCTGCCGGAACCACCCCTGTCAGTACCTGGACTCGCCTTGTTTGTTGGTTCTCATGAGAAGAAGCTGCTTTCATTAAATATCATTTAGTTTGGAGGTGGGACAACACCTGACCGGTCCTGGACTTCAGGTCCTGGACTTCAGGTCCTGGACTTCAGGTCCTGGACTTCAGGTCCTGGACTGTGCTTGTGGAATCTGGGCTCTGGTTCTGGTGTTCTGAGGTTCTGTTTGTGTGCAGACACGTTCTGGATGAACCCTCAGTTCGTGATCAGACTGGACGAGGAGGACGACGACCCGGATGACGGTGAGGTGGGCTGCAGCTTCGTGGTGGGTCTGATCCAGAAGAACCGCAGGAAGCTGCGTAAAGACGGCGAGGACATGCACACCATCGGCTTCGCCATCTATGAGGTCTGAAGGTTCTCCGGGGGTCCGGCATCTGAGTCCTGCACCGGTCCAACATTTAAACTTCTCTTCTCTTTCATTTCAGCTTCCCCGGCAGGTGAGTCCTGAAGCCCCAGGTGAAGCTCCGCCCACCCAGGAGACCCTCACCTCTCAATAAGTGCTGTAACTTCGGGGAGGGGGAACAGTGGGCAGAACAGCCTTCAAAATAAGAGTTCAGAGTTATTATTTAAAAGTTGAGTTGTGAGGTCCCTGACAGTCCTCCTGACCCCGGTCCTGAGCTCAGAGTGGTCTCTGAGGGCCAGCATGTCCACTKTCATAGAGATTTACATCTGAAAGCCTCAGAAAGGTTGATGACTCATCCCACTGCCTGAGGTGTGTCCTACCTGCTGGTGGGCGGAGCCTAATCAACAGGGAATGCAAACAGCTTTGAACTCCTTCACCAGGAAGTGGAGGTGTTTTATAGAAACAGGAAGCACWAACTGGACTTCCTGTCAGGAACAGACATTTAAAAGAATTAAAGACTTGAACCATGTCAGCGGTCCGGTCCGGTTCGGCTCTTTGATTCTTTATTCTCAGCTGACACCTGAACACATCCTGCTTGGTTCTGAGGTTCTTCAGTGTTTATAAAGATATTTAATGACATTTTATCCTTTGATCTTGCTCAGCGCAGTAAGAGCTCCTCTGATTGGCTGTTTTCCTGCAGTTCTACGGGCAGAGAGAGGTCCACCTGGATAAGAACTTCTTCCTGACCCACGCTCAGAAAGCCAGGTCTGAAACCTTCATCAACCTGCGGGAGGTCAGCACCCGTTTCAAGCTGGCACCTGGAGAGTACCTGATCATCCCGTCCACCTTCGACCCACACCTGAACGGGGATTTCTGCATCAGGGTGTTCTCCGAGAAGCAGACAGAAACTCTGTAAGAACCTGAAGCTGCTGGTTCTGGTTCTGGTTATTTAGGAACTTGTTTAGGTCTAAAGCACTGCAGGGAGACACAAAGTCCAATCCTTCTGTCTTCCTGTTTCCTCAGACCCTGTGATGACCCCGTTAACGCTGAGCTGGATGAGGTGAGTAAAGCTCCGCCCACAGGTGGATCAACAGGAAGCTGGTGTGTCCAGAGCTCGAGAAAAGGAGGATAAAAACATGAGACGCTGAATGTTTTATTATAAACTGTAGCACAAAAAATAACATTTGACACTGAAGTTTCTTCTGTTAGCAAAATATTTCAGTCCAACACAGAGAGGTGTGTTTCAGCTAAACATAGATATATAATATACAGATGTGCTGGAACAGATCTCACATAGAGCTAGACCTGTGTGAACTGACAGCTTGGACATGTGTCTCAGTCCATCAGAGGGACAGTAGGACAGGTGTCAGTCCATCAGAGGGACAGTAGAACAGGTGTCAGTCCATCAGAGGGACAGTAGGACAGGTGTCAGTCCATCAGAGGGACAGCAGGACAGGTGTCAGTCCAGTGGACATTCTGATTATTGTTGTGGTCTTTGTTGTCCAGGATGTGGTGTCGGACAGTGAGGTGGACTCAGGATTCAGGAACATGTTCAGTAAACTGGCTGGAGCAGTAAGTTTGTGTTTTTCTTCCTGTTCATTGTCCACCTGCTGCAGACACACCTGAGACACACCTGCCTGAACTGAACAACCTGTACTTGAACAGGAAGTTTATTTACTGGCTGCTGATTGGCTGCTCTCTGTTTCAGGACATGGAGATCTCTGTGATCGAGCTACAGACCATCATGAACAAGATAGTTTCCAAACGTGAGCTAAAGCTTCAACGTGTTGAATACAAACAAGATCATCTGTAGCTTTCACTTCCTGTCTCTTTGCCTTGACTTCCTGTCTTGTTGCTCTGACTTCCTGTCTTGTTGCTCTGACTTCCTGTCTTTGCCTTGTCTTCCTGTCTCTTTGCCTTGACTTCCTGTCTCTTTGCCTTGACTTCCTGTCTTGTTGCTCTGACTTCCTGTCTTTGCCTTGTCTTCCTGTCTCTTTGCCTTGACTTCCTGTCTCTTTGCCTTGACTTCCTGTCTTGTTGCTCTGACTTCCTGTCTTTGCCTTGTCTTCCTGTCTCTTTGCCTTGACTTCCTGTCTTGCGGCCTAGACTTCCTGTCTCATTGCCTTGACTTCCTGTCTCATTGCCTTGACTTCCTGTCTCATTGCCTTGACTTCCTGTCTCGCGGCCTTGACTTCCTGTCTCATTGCCTTGACTTCTGTCTCATTGCCTTGACTTCCTGTCTTGCGGCCTTGACTTCCTGTCTCATTGCCTTGTCTTCCTGTCTCATTGCCTTGACTTCCTGTCTCATTGCCTTGACTTCCTGTCTCATTGCCTTGACTTCCTGTCTTGCGGCCTTGACTTCCTGTCTTGCGGCCTTGACTTCCTGTCTTGCGGCCTTGACTTCCTGTCTTGCGGCCTTGACTTCCTGTCTTGCGGCCTTGACTT